ATGCTTTGGATGCTCAAAACTCATCTTCTGGATCTGTGCTGGGTCTTAAATACTTTAATACCTCTAGTATGAATTGGGGACTGTTGCTGCATCACTGCCTAGGCAGGGCCACTGATTAGTAGAGGTGATGGTCCAAGGAGGCAACCTTGGAAGGTAAAAAAGATGATTCTATCTTAGTTTCGCATGAGATATAATGACCAAATGGTGGTCCGATTTTGTGCAGGTTTTTAGTTTTCTCTATGAATTTGCAGAGGCAGTCTGTAGAGATGGAGGGTCAGTCTTTCTAGAGGTACATGGTGTCAGAAAGCATGACTAACAGTGGGATTTTCCAAGTTGCCTGGATGCCCAGAATTCAGCAAACAATTAACATTTCTGTAAGGTGTACATTGATACCTACGAGCACCAGAAATCACTATAAGCATCTGGAGCTCTGTGCTTGCAAACGCAGCTGCAGCCGCTGTTCCTCAGGCAATGGCAATCCCAGTTGCTATTCTGGGGTGGGTTACGTCAGGTAAAGGAATTGGAGGCAAACTGCTTTGGGGTACTTTGCCAGAAACACGTGCTGCTTCCAAGGATATCTGGGGGCTCACGGTGTACAGCCTTTTAAGGTAAACCGAGCACCTTCCAGGAAGCCCTTGGCTCTTTGTGGTTCAGGATCAGAGGGAAATCGATGAATAACAGACCCAGAGGGTTTCTGATAGAGCAAACACAGAGTCAGTGAGAGCTGCAAACAGTGATCCTCAAAAATACCTATATTCCCATTTGTGACCACGTGCACCCCAACCCATTGAAGGGAACAAACTGAGCAACAAATCCCAGCACGAGTGCAATGCATGAAGATCTACACAGCGCCAAAACTGTGAGCTGCCTTGGCATGAAGTCGGTGTGGCCAGGGCTTTCAAGATGGGTTACCCGTCCTTCTGGACCTGAAGCCCACACTCAACCAACAGCCCAAAGCAGCCTGCCTTTTTCCAAAGGTGCTGAGCAACTAGGAATAAGTGAGGTCTTCAGATGCTGTGCACATCTGGATTTAGATGCCTCATTTTTGGAAGCTGGCTTTGGAGGAAAAATATCCAAAAAGTGACTGGTGTTTCATTTGACCTAATGGGAAGTGTATTTTGGGGAGTGTGAGCTCTGCCTGGGCTTATATAAAGCCTGTTAAGTGATGTCAGGTTGCATGGGAGGCCCTTTCCCCTTGGGCAGGCGCAGCTCCCTGGCTGTGGGTCTCGGTGGGATGGCGAGTCCAGTGGGCAGTAGATTTTTATTCGCGTTTTTTTCCCATTCCCTCCAAATGTGGGTACAGAAGGGACCCAGTTCTGATGTTTAATTAGCTCAGAGAGCATTTGTGTTGCTGTAACACTGCCTTCAACTTCCACCCAGGGTGCGGGGGTGACCTGTACAGACCCCCCAGCCCCTTGATGACTTTACCATCGAGCCCCACGTTTGCTCCCACAGCCCTGATGGAACCTCGTTAGTGCGGAGCCAGCTCTCCCACCACATGGACGTGGTCAGGAAAGGTCCCCGTGCACGGAGCAATCTGTCACGGCCTCGTGCCTTGATTTAGGGAGCCTGGGGGGAGCCGGGGCACAGCAGGCAGCTGGACCTGCGGAGAGCACCGTGCTGTCTCGCACAGACCACCAAGCAGCTATCGCTTCTTAATAAACTTTTTGGCCATTGCTGACCTAGCCTATATATGAACAAGTGAAAGGCAAGTGGTGAAAGGATCTGTATAACATTACTAATCCCACGTAACGCTCTCACTGAAAAGGCAAGGCAGGTTTCCCTGCTGTTGTGTCCTTTCACTGCAGCTGCCTGGTTCACCCTCCTGCTTTTATTAAAAATAAAATCTGATAGCGTTCTTTCTGAGCGGGTGCAGCCTGTGGATGCCCAATGCCCAAGGGAGGGATGGGGGGGCCAGGGAGGTCTTGTGCGCAGGGTTTGGTGCTCTGTCTTTGTGTGCTCCTGGCTGCGGTGAGCCGGGGAGCAGTTTTGCAGGCTGGATGGGGGAAAGCAGTTGCCAGCTGCCCTCCTTGGAGGCTCTGATAAGGGTTTATATCCTTGCGATGTAGCATCGGTTCTGGAGTAAAGGAGCTGCAGGGTCTGCTTGTGCTGTTCCTGCGCCCCAGGATGAAGCAGGGCTCCGGCTTTCCCTGCAAGTGTTCAAGCTCTTAGGACGGTAAATTGGTAACTGGTGAGCAGTTGGGGCTGGCTGGTGTGTGCTCAGGCCGTGCTTCAGCAGCTTAATCTTTCAATCTCCAAGCACAAATGTGTGGTCTGGATATCAGGGAGGTGGGACTGAATGGTCTCCTATGGCTTCACAACCTGCAGTCTGCTGGGGAAAACAAAAACAAACCTTAAGGCTGCTGCCAAATCTAGGTGGAGGAGGTACCCTCGTGTATATATATATATATTTAAATGTTTTAGCAAAGCTGTGTTAGTCTGAAGGAAAGTGGTTGATATTTTGTGTGTGGCAGTTTCCTTCTGACACAGTATTTCCCTTTACAACTGCAGTATCAGGGATGGCAAGGGATGCTCCTCCTGGTTTCGGGAGCTTAACAAACCTGCCTGGAGATGCAGTTTAACAGGCTTGGGAAAACCAGCTCAGAGTCACAGTTTTTTCTCTTCATGGTTTCAGTTCCTGTTTCCAAGAATTGTTTTGTTTGAAGCACAGATTTCAGGTTAAAGGGAATACATATATTGAACCAAACAGTTCTTTTTCTTTAGTCTCCCATTCCAGCAAGTGGAAAAAAAAAATTACAATTGGTTTCTTCTGTGCCCAGTTTTTGCTGGTGGTTTTGGTCTGGCAGATGACCCCAGAACTAAGAGTCATTTGTACAACCCTGCGAGGTGTGAGTCACCAAGTACTGCGTTTGGGCAACTGGAGCTGTGCATAGCGTTCCCAACGGAGCATTAACCACCTCTTGTGCAACCATATCAATACTTTTCCAGGAAATGTATTGTCCAGTAGTCACTAAATAAGCATAAACTTTTTCCTGAAGTCTGTTGGTGTGTTGAAATCGAGTCTCCTCAAGGAAAAACTACTGGTTTTGTTAAAATGTGCCTCAAGAAAGGAGAGGGACAGCTTGGCTAGCCTACAGGTCTGGGTTTGCCCAGAGATCGGGTTCAGAAGCTCAGCCTGAGGCAGAGCTTTGTGGTCTATATCCCCAGAGGTTTAATTTCTTAAACACTCTTTTTCAAGCTTTTTAATAATAGGCATCTGAAGCTCGTAGCTCCATCCTTGTGCAGAATAGGAAAATACTTTGAAATCAAACAGTTCTTTTTCCTTCAGCTTTGCCAAAGTATTATCACAGTAAATATGTATATATAGTGTGTGTGTGCCTATATGTAAATATATTTATTTTTTTCTGTCTGAACTGGAGGCAACCCTTGAGCTGAGATCAGGTGTTGCCTTGATTATACAGTATAAAATCAGTGTCACAGGAGTCACACCGATGTCGGCAGCAGCCCTGTGCTGGGAGAGCAGGGAAGGAGAGCGGTGCTGTTCAGGGAAAGCAGGAGCTTTTAATGCATTTAAACTCTTGCTGGCTTTACCCTTCCTATCTGTTGCTTTCCTTGTTTAGCTGGGGAGCGGTGTAGGAGCCTTGTTGGGTGCAAAATCCCTCCCTTTGGATGAGGGCAGAAACTGCACAGAGAGAGGAGGGGGTGGCTCACAGGTTTTTGTTGCCGGACTTTCATTGTACAACCTTCCCTAATGTGAGATCTTGTCTAAATCGCTGCATCTTACTTGTTTTTATAAGGATCCAGAGTGGTTGCTTCACATTTATTTAATATAACACTAGACTAGTGGCTATAGGCATGTGGCATAGCCCTCCTTTATGTAACAGGATTCCTTAGTGTTTGGGTAAAGTCTAAATCCTAAAATGAGAAGGGGAAGTGAATTGGACTGGAATAATGTTTTCTGATTCCAGTGTCATCAAGATGCCATATCTATAAATCAGCTCTCTGATTCAGTGTTTTTCTTCAAACCAATTCATCCACCAAAAGAAGTTATTAGAAGCGTCCAGAGATCCCTGATGGCTTAAGGAAATTTAAGAGCAATTGTCAGCTTTTTTAAATATATTTTTTATTACTTTTTTCATTTGTCTTAGAAAGAAATATGAAATCTGCATGCAACCTTCTAAATATTTCAAACATTTAAATAGCATATGATAATTTAGCAGTACAGTACATTATACAGAAAGATAATATAGGGAGACTTCCTATAGTATATTTACAAATGAAAAGGTAGTTTTGTTACTTTAAAAAGAGGAATGCACTGCTTAACATTGAAGTATTACATTCAAAATAATGAATATGTTGTATTGTGACTAAAACATATATAGGTATTTATATGTTTGCCCTATCATATTTTTCATAAAAAGGTGCCTTTTAAAGGCTTTTTTTGTTGTTGCTACAAATCTAGGAAATCATACACAATAGTCTTGAAGCTTAAAATGTCTCAGTACTGAAGCCATAAACTTTATGTAAGAACTTCAGGTGGAAAAAAACAAAACCCAAAACAAACCAAACCAAAAAACAAACCCAAACATTTTCTTAGTAATAAAAATGACCTAGAAATGCTTTCTAATGCATGAAACATTAAGAGGGAGATATGGTACGCTTCACCTTGCAGCAAGACCTCAAGTCCATCAAAGAGGTACACAAGTGATGTTCATACTCCTCTGACGATGTGCTGAGGGACCTCACTTCTGCAGTTACAGCCACGACACTTGGGTGGCATCTTCCCCAGCCAACTCCTCTTTGGTCCCTGCTTTGCCTGACTAAGGTGGAGGCTGCAAACATGACAAACAACCACAGCACTGAAGCTTTCCCACTGCGAAAGGGATGAGGGACACGGCTATATAACACCTTTACAAACATGACTGTTTGTCTAATGAGCTTATAAAGCTCGATTGCAATCATAGTGAAGTATGAATGAATAACAATAAAAAAAAACCAACCCCCAACCCAACCTCCTTAAAATGAAAAGCATGAGTTTTCCCAATCTCAGTACAGAGCAGATGGGTATGAAATCTGAAGTGCAACAGATGCTTGTGAAATCTGGAAGCCTTTTGCACGTGGCTATAAAATGTAAAAACTGACCCTTGGTAAAAAGTGCTTTATAATAATATAGAATTTGTGTCTTATGTCTGTGAGAGAGAAACAATCTTCTGCAGAGCCTGGTCCTACACCAGCCAAGGGAGTCTGCTCCATTCCTTACACCGCTTCCTCTTATTCTTCGTAAACCCTAAACAGAAGGAAAGCCAAGAGCAAGGTGTTTAAACTATGAATGGAACAACTCCCTTCCAAATAATAAAATAATAAAAACCCCACGAACAACACCCCTCCACCCCAAGCCACATTTTTAGCATTTGCTTAAGTAAATTGGAAAGTAAGTTATTGAATTCAGGGGTCACTGGATTGTTGTCCATAAAACACCTGGGAGGAGGGTTGGATTTTGACACTGCCGCATCTTGCAGGCATGTGGGGAGTAACACGCTCTACCACGATTATCAGGATACATTAAGATGAAGAAATCCACATATGCTAATACACTTTAACTGCTGAAAAATCCCCACCTCGTATACAAATATTGAAGTATATAATGAGCTGTATGTAGGTAATAAATTCACAATATCTGTTATGTTTGGAATAATGTTAGACTATAGGTTTTTTTCTAGCTTATGTCCTGAGAAGGCCACTTGACAGGCTTATCTGCTGAAAAATCCTTGTTGTGCAGGCTCTTTGGGTGAAGGTGGTCTTCCATGGCATGGGGAATACTAGGGGCAATACTGTTTTATGGAAGGGATTAGTGTTTGTACTGCATAGTCCTGGCTTTTCCTGGGGAGAAGTGCAGTGGACTTGGTAGAACTGGCATTGAAATCTTTATTATGAGGACTTGGTTTAAATTAGGCTTTTTACATCTGAAATATTCACTTGATGCTGCTTCAGCTGCAGTTCAGCTTGGCTGCCCTGCTTGCCCAGTTAGCAGCGTCGGAGACCTGCTGGGTGCGATGCAGGGGTGGCACACCGCAGTGGGGCAATGCCAGTGCCGGGCAAGGCGAAGCAAGGTAAAACACCAAAGGTTTCATTGCATCCCTTCTGCACGCCCCAGGCCGACAGCCGAAGCTGTGGGGATGCTGATCTCGCCATCCTTCCTCCTCTCCCTGGCAGCAGCGACAGTCTCCCTCCCCTGGCTGGACTGTGGGAAAACCTTGAGCTGACCCTTATTTTGGGCTGTGGAGGAGACTACGAGCAGCACCGTTGTCTGCAGCACGTGGACCCTGGTCCTCACAGCCTTGCGTGGGGCATCCCTCCTCACGGTCTGCTTGGGGGAACCCTGCATGTTTCCTGAAGGCACAAGCCTGGGGTTAAGCATCCTTCATCGTCTTAATGACAGCCTTATTAAAAAAAAATTGGGGAAAAGTGTAAATATGTGGTTATGCAAGAGCCAGGGCTTCCCCACGTGCTCTGTTTACAGAGGAGCCGCAGGGAGCTGGCAGGGAGTCAGGGGAGCCGGCCGGGGGGCTCGGCACCCACCGTCGCTCGCGGTGCCGTGGCATCGCCTGTGCCATTGGGCACCGTGTGGCTCCACCGGAGCTCGCCGGCACCCTTGGACCTGCTGAGAGTTTGGGCTTGCTGCTCTTTGGCCTCATTTGAGCTCAATTTTTGGGGAGCAAATTCCCCATTAGTTGAGGACGATCAGGGTTTGGTGGGACCGTGCTGCCTGCAGAGGCTCTTTCTTGGCCATGGCTGTCGAGGTGGTAGGAGCTGGGCAGCTCCCCTTAATTCCAGACAGGACATCACTAACCATCAGGAATTCATGTTTCTCTCTTGCTCTCTTCTATCTATGATGGATGGCTTGCAAAAAAAACCCCAAAACCAAACCCAAACAAAAACCCCCACCCATAAAACCCAAACCTCTTTGCAAGGGAGAAGGTGATGGGGCATCTCGCCAGCAAGTTACTGTTTTACTGGGAATGATACACTAGTTAAAACTGGCAAATATCTGCGTCATCAGATATTGATGATTTTAAGGTGGTGTGACAGGGCATTCTTTTCCCAGCTCTGCTGACTGCTTTTCTTGTGACCATGTGGAAGTAATTTAGCTTTTCATCTTGGCTTTTTACCCATAGAAGGGAGGTGAGTGTATGTAAATAACTGAGAAGAGCAGCTGATGAATAGTTTAACAGAAAATAATTACTATTTATAGTCAGAACAGTGTAATCCTAAAATAGAAGTGAGGACTGCATGTGGCAGGAAAGAAATAACATCAAGAACATCCATTTATAACCATAATTTTGGTAATGAAATACATCCTCCGTGCTAGATAGAGCATTTGCAGCGTGTGTATTTTCCTGGCCTCTCTATGTCTGAATGCTGCCGATTGCCTGACTTGCCACCAAGATTTTTCCCCCTTGTCCATCGAGCAAATCCATACTTACCTGCCTTTCTCTTTCCATACTCTGTACCACTTCAGCAGTCTCACTGTGTTTTGGCGTTTGGGGTTTAAGCAGTGCTGCTGCTCCCCTCTCACCCGTGTCCACAGAGTCACGCTGCAAGGCAAGCGAGCACAGGTTACAGGAGTCGTGGGAAATACCCGTCCTCTGCTCCCACTCCAGGTAAATGCCAAAATCGGTCAGGGGGCTCTCGCCCAGGCAGGCAGCGGAAGGGTTTTCATGCTTTGTGTTTTATGGCAGATCTTCAGCTGTTATCAATCAGTGCGGTGCAATATTGTCCACCATTATACTAGGTTGTATCAGATGAAGACTTACCTGCTGTTTTTAATCAGTGGGTTTGCTCTGCCTGTCTGTTAGATATTGTCTTTTTAGCTTAATATCTGATTTAATTAGGGCCTATTCAGGCAACCACAAGGTCTTTGCATGAGGAGATGCCTCCCTTACACTCAACAATACTGCATCCAGGAGAAAAGATCAGGCCTGCTTCATTGATTATTTTTTTCCTTTTTTTTTTCTTTCAGTCCACAAGATTTTAAATACTTGCACATGGCAGAGTACCTGTGTGCCTGACAGACTAGCTCTGAGCCCCAGCATGCAATCCTGGGGGCTTCAGCCTCCTCTGATCACAGGCTGATCCTGCTCTCCTTGCCAGCAGTGGTGGCTTGGTGTCCCCTTATTGTCAGGTTAAAGTGTGCTGGGAGGCAAAACATGGCAAAAGTCTTCCCGTTGTTTTAGGTTTCTTCCCGGAGGGCTTAGTGAAGCCATCACCGGTTGGTCTGCCACAGCTGAGGTGACAAGAGAGACCTGGAGCTGTTTCCCAAGAGGATGGCTTTCCAGAAACATCAAGACTGCTATCTCTTCTCAGAGCTCAAAATCAAGCAGTTTTTGGGTATTGTTATTAATTGTGCAATTTAAAAAAAAAAAAAAACAAAACCAAAAAACCAACCAACCCCACAATTTATATTGGAATTGTTCATTTTCTGGAAATACCATCCATAACAGGGAAACACAGTTTTTGGTTTAACTAAAATATTATAATGAAATTATTTAAACAGTGCTAGAAACGTGAGTAAAACAATGGCAGAAAATCATAAATATCTCTGTGTTCAAATAGTTCTTTCCATTCAATTAACCTTCTTCCCTGCTCCCCTTTCTGCTCTACCTTCATCAGGTGTAAGCTAAAATCACAAAAAGATAAAGTGTAATTTTCAGGTTATTTTCTGGGAGGATGTGGCCCTTTCCTGAATGTGTGGGAAAGTGGTGGAAGACCTCAGAGAGCCTCTCTGGCTGCAGGCATCAGAAACGGAAGGCTCACTGCTAAAATCTATGGACTATGTCTGTTCTAAGGGTGTCCTCAGCCAGCCCGTCCGGTGGTCAGTACGTATGTGAGAAGGGGAGTTTTTCTGTAGATTTGAACTGGGAGTGAAACCAAATGTTTGCCAAAGGCCCAAGGCATGCAAGTTTTAAGGGATTTGAGGTCAGTGAATGTTTCTCCATCCACCTTCTCGGCTGTGCTGTCTGTGCTGGCTGATGTCAGACCTTGGCTTGGATTTTTCTTCTGACAGACCATAGAAGGTATTTCCAGAAAGTGATGGACAAGCTGAATCGCAGCAGGAGAAGAGCAGGAGCACCTCTGAAAAGCAGTGAGCCCTGCATTTGCACCAGAAGCAAAGACAATTCTGTATTTACTAGAGCCTGCAGTCTGAGGAGGAGGAGATGTGTGGTTTGCTTCTCAGGTGAACTGGCTTTCTTCTCAGGCTGAGATGTGTTGCTTCGACATCACACGTAGGTTTTCTACGTTGATGCTGGAGGCTGGACAGCAGAGGAGAGGTTCCCAAGGCAGCCCCAGGGTCCTCCGTGGTTCCCGCACAGTTCCTGATGCTGTGGGTGCAGGGTTGGGGGGGGGGGAGCATTTTTGGGCACCCTGAGCTGACCTGGCCCTGCTCTTGGGGATGTTGGTCTGGCAGATGTAAGGGGCTGTGCCTAAGAAGAGGTGCTGTGGGAGGTGATACCCTGAGCGAGGAGTTGTCTGGATGGACTGCAAGAAGAGGTTGAGAGGGATGGAGAAGGGACTGAAGCACCAGAACTTACACCTCCAGTGGGATTTGGGACATGAGCTCACTCCAGGGGTGTGTGCTGAGCTGTCCCTTAGGTGCACAGGGCTTGGTGGCTGGAGACTTCACCCATGGTGTCTGAGTGCCCCTGTGCCAAAATCCTCCCCAGTAAGTCCGTGCCTCCAGGGCTGTGATGAGCACCCCAGGCCAGTTGGTGACCCCCAGTGCCTTCTGCCCCCAGGCATCTCATCTGCAGGGATGGTGGGGCTGCACCTCTGCCTTCAAACACCTTGTTCCCAGGGCCGCAAGGGTCCTGGCTCTGGTCCTTTCATCCTAAGTGCAGGGACTGCCGTCTGCCTTGGCCGTCCCTTGAGAAAGGCTCCCAGCGGTGCCTGTTTCCCATCAGCTGCCCTTCCCCGACACATCGCTCCTCTTTGGGACGGGGCAATATGTGGAGAGGGGTTGGATCCTTTCAGGCAGAAATAGTTAAACCTCCCTCCTATTTTGTGTTGCTTTTCCTCGTTCCGGGAGACAGATACACACACAATTACTGCTAAATGTATCATGAATCATGGTAGGTTTTGACTAGACTGAGGACTTGGTTTAGCTGTCTCTTACCCTGTACCACAGTTCTGCTGGGGGGGTTATGGCCAAAGACAAATTCCTTCCTAAACTGCACCCCCATACCTACTTCTTCTCGGCCAAACATCATTTATATCATGTTTTTGCTACATGAGAAGATACGAGAGCTTTTGAGGACGGCAGGAGGGGAACCAGCTTCGACGGCTCGTTTTAGATGATCACTGCAGCAACAAAAACTCAGTTGCAGGAATTTAGCTCTTCTGTGCCTTGTCCAGAGACTCCCGGATCAATTGGTTCTCAGAATATTAATTTCACTTTGCTTTCAATGCTGACTTCAGACTGCATTAGGGTAGCTGGAAAGGCAGCAGCAGTGATGGGAGAGTGATGGGACAGCTTTGTCCCTGCAGCCGCTGCAAACCCAGGGCGACCCTCCGGGCTTGAATAGCATTGCTCGGCATCTGCATAGCTATCCAGCTGGGAAAGCAACCGCTCATGCATGCTGTTCCAGCTTTCCCGACTTCCTGATTAGAAGTCAAATGTTGCATTAATGAGATTTATTTTATACCGCCCGGCCACCAGCTGCTTTCAGGCAAATGCCTGGAGCGGGATGCGAAGAGTTAGTGCTCCACTACACCATTATTTTGCTATTGAAAGGTCAAAGCAAACAAAGTAAAGCCGCAAGGAACCGATTCAGGCAGTGATGCTCTGCAAGCATTTTTCTGTTCAGGTCACCATCAGCTGATCTGGGCTTCAAAGAGGTGGGTCTGATGTTCCCCGAGCTGAGCATTGCTCACAGTGATGTTGGTGTAAATCTGGAGGAAGCCTAAGGAAGCTTGGCTCTCCATTCCTCCTCCATACGCCCTCCGCAGAGTCTGGCAAGCCACTTCTGCACGGGCAGGATCAGGCTCCCACGGTACCTCCTTGTTTGTGCCAGTCAGATGAGCAGGATTTGGCCCCGTGGGCATTACAGAGTGCTGGAGGTGGTACACAGCCTGGCAGGACAGGACTCCGATCCTGCTGTTAAAGCACGTTTCTAAGATTAAGCGAATGGTATATGTTCGGTGCGGGAGCACAGACAGCGGAGTAGATCAGTCCTGGGCGTTCTGGGGGTGCGGCTGCTCTTGGGACCCTTTTTCCCCCCTCTCCGGAGGCAGAGGGGCTTGGTGCAGTCGTCTTGGTTAATCTGTCCCTCTGTTCCTTATCCAGCTCCATGTGCTGGTTGGACGGTGCTTTGTTGGGGGAATCTTAAGATCTCTAAAACAGGATGGTAAAAAAAGCCCACAACCCCCCCGTATTTAAAATCTAAAAAAACCCCTCCTTTTGAGCCAGTCATCAGAGATATCAAAAATCCCCATACCTGCCTCAGTTCAGTAAGTCGCTACATCACTTTGAGATTTCAGGGCAGCATTGGTCACGGCTTGCAGTGAGACTAGGAGGAAAGCATTTTCTTACATGCTAGGTAATCCCACTGAATGCAAGGGGATGGCTCTGGTACAATGCAGGGAGAAAATCTGATTTGGGTTGGGATAACTCTTCCTTGCAAAAACCACCACGGACCAAACACTGCTCGTGTTCTTATTCTGCATGCCCAGAACAACTTGAGTAAATAGTTCTGGATTTTACATCAGGCGGCTTGGAGTAGGATTTGTCCCTGTCTTCACTTGAATGATTATCCTGTTATCACTACCTGTTCTGGAAATATTTCTTTGAACAAAAAAAATTGTGTCAAAATGATAGCTGGGGTTTCGGTCAGAATTGCACATTTTATTGCATCTGATACAGCAAATGACTATTCCCAGGAATTAGCATGCCAGGGCATGAGGAAAACAAAGAACAAAGAAGGAACTTGCAGTATAAGGTAAAGCAATTCAGCTGATAGGGAAACAGAAAGCAATAAATGAAGGAAAACTTACATAATCATCTCTTCCACGCAAAATGGGTACCTCGGTTTTATTTCCAGCTTCCGTACGTTAGAGAATCTTATTTTTGGACCTTTTCTTGAACATTTGCACTTTACGCCTACAAGAGAAAGCATTTTCTCATGTGCCTGCAAAGCCTCCTGCATACCAAGCGTCCCTTCCCTGCCAGCCTATATGCGCACACAAACTTTGCTTTGGTCTTTCAAGCCTCGGTGGGAAAAGCTGAATTTTGCAATGCTTTGAGCTTAAAAAGAGTAGTATTTTCTTTGCTATATCCCAGGAAAAGGTAGGGACTCTCTAGGAAATATGTTTTGGAGCACTATATAAGTTCTGAGGATTAGTAAATGTGAGATTTTTTTTTTTTAAAGTGCACCTGCTGTGATTAAATGTAATGGTATTTAACAAAAGGAAATGGAAGAGTCAGAACTTGCTTTAAACTGAGCAAGCAAATGCACATCTCGGCTACTTTCTCATTCACTTGCTTCTCTCCTGGACTTTGTGGGACTTTCAGTCGTTTCTCCTCGCATGGATGCTGTGGTGCATTCGCAGCCAGACAAAAGCGGAGAGGGGTTTTTAACCATCGTTTCTGTGCACGGCAGAAAACACACACTGCCACACTGGGCAGAATTTGTGCTACCACATCAAACCCAGCTCTGCTCTATTTTCCCTGTGAAAACCACCCTCAATTTTGAAAGGAGATATTTGAGCTGTATTCCTGAATAAGGGAGAATCCCCCACCGTGATGCCTTGCAATGAAGACGCAACTTTGTCGTGTGTATTTTACCTTTACTTCCACCTTTAAAAAAAACTTGCAGCTATCCTACCCCACAGATACAACACATCCCTTTTCCCAGCATGCAGGGGACAGCTAAACCCACCTCGGGGCTAGCAAGAGGCAAACACAAATCGCTGGAAAAGCAGAGGTTTACGTGGGAATAAGCAGAATAAACCCACTTACCTTCTGCGCTGGCTAAGCACATGGCGATGAACAGCAGGAGCAAAGCTGCTGTCAGGAGCTTCATGCTGAGGCGGCAGGTACCTAAAGAGACGCTGAGGATTTGAATATATTTGTTCGCTTCGGCTTCGTCTCCTTCTTCCCCGGGGCTGGATGTCACCAGGGAGAGGAGAGCAGAGAGCAGCTCCCTGCCCTGCCTCTCTTGCCTGCTCTCTCCGCCGCTTTCCTCCCCTTGTCCTCTTTTAAAACACCTCCCGCTGCCCTTGCTCCCGGCTCATTAATATGCAAAGCAACTCCACGGCTTCCTCAGCCCCGGCGGGGAGGGAAGGGACCGGCCCCGGGGAGGGGAGGACAAGGAGAAGGGGGGGGACATGGGGACACTCCGCCCCGAGCATCCCCCGGGCTGGGAGCGCAGGCGGTGGGGCGGCTGGTTCTGCCCGGCTGGGGTATTTCTCATCGGGAGGAGGTTTGCTGGGGGTGTATGGGGGGATATATTTGTATAAATGGGGCTGCTAGGTGGAAGATAACCCACCCCCCCACCCCCGTGAGCGCTCCGTGGAAATTCCCGTGCATCTTGGAAATAAGATTTGGGGAAGTCTCACCTGGGAAGGGGTGTTGGCTGTTGACTTTAATACCGATTTTTCTAGCTTTAACAGGTTTCTGAATCAAAAGGAAAGCTTAGTGAATTAAACGGGGGGGGTGGGGGAGAGAAATATTCCTCGGAGCATTGTTAGGTAGGTTTAGCATGTGGAATGTTTCAGGAAATAAGATCAATTTTCGGTTGCTTTTATGAGCACTCCAACAACGTTTTGCTCCATGAAGAACAGGGTAGCAACACACAGGAACTTCATGGATGTAAATACGTGTTCCCTCTCCCTTGCAGGGTCTGTTTCTGATTTCGGCAACAGCTAAAATAGCATCTTTAAAATCCAGATTCCAGATTTTTGCCTGTGTAACTGAAATGGGTGAAGATCAGCGTTGGGTCTCTAATCTTCCTAGTACTCTATTCAAAACCCATCGCAGATAAACGCCTCTGCTGATCCCCGGTTCATCTCAGCCCCTTCTCCCAGTGCACCGCTGCCCACGCTCCCCACTTGCGCACTCCAACCGACCCAAGCCAGCCACCCTGCCAGTTCAGGCAGCGTTTGGGAAGGACACGCCATGCGCTCCCGGCTCCGTTTGCATTTTAAGTTTCCCACATGGCTTCATTCCTGCCGGCTCCCATTGGCAGCGGCCATCCCCACCGCGTTCCCGGCCCGGGTGTTGGCAGGCTGTGAGTACAGCCCTACCACACACAGCCTGCACGTTGCGCACAGGCAGAGCAGGCAGCTGCCTTGTTCCTGGCCCTGGGTTTCATGCGAGACGTGCCGACACGCCGGGAACAGCCTGATTCCGCTGCCCTGCATGGGATGGGGGAGCAGGGGTGGGCGGCCTGGCTGACGTGGCAGGGAGATTTTGGGGTGAAGGATCCGTTCCCGGGCAGGCTTGTGTGGCTGCTGTCGGTGTAAAGGAGCAGGGGGGATGGTGTGATAGTTTTTGTTATGCTTTGGGCATTTGCGCTGCACGGCTCTGAACCAGCTCCTGAGGCTCTTGGTGCAACCCTGCTAGGGATGTTTTGGGGTGTGTGTTATTAAATGCTAACAGGACTAAATGCTAAAGGACTAACTAAAGTTTGTTCCGCAGCCTGGTGATAAAAACGGGCACTTGAGATATGGCAGGTCTCAGTTCAAACCTTTGAACTCAATTGTTGTTATCCAATTCCTTATATGAGGAAGAAAAAAAACTGCAGGAGAGTACAACAGGCTCGTTTCAGATCACTATCGGCTGGGTGGTGAGGATGCTTGCTGGGCACCAGGGAGAGCTGATTTAAACTGATCCATATCCCACCCAGGGCTGTAATCCTGCCCTGCTGCGGCTTGGGGTAATTCCCTGCTTGCAGCCTCCTCTCCACTGTATGCAGGAACAGTTCTGGGGTAACTGTGGGAAGGGAAAGCCACTTTCCCTCCCCCTCTGCTAATAAAAATTTGGGTGCAGCTTTAGCTGACAGCAATTTGAACTTCCCCCAGAAAATTGAAGGAAATTCTCAAGCTTTCCAAAAGCAAATCCCTTCTCCTTGTATGTCTTGTGCTCGTGTTGAAAGAGCCAAGCTTATTAGCTATTGAATAAGAAAAGTGCTGCTTTAGTTCCAATTTACATGTAGAAATGGATGTATTTGAGGTGTGTGTGTAAATACGGTAACTGCTCACTATGAGCCTGAGCAGTTCGGTGTCTTTATGCCAAGCGTTGGCTTTGATAGTAATTATTTCTGAGAGCTCAAAGGTGTCTCTTGCCTGGTGTGACAGATTTTGGTGGCCGTGTACAGCTGGCTCTGACACCTGCTCTATCTCAAAATGACTATCACAGAAGAGGAAGAAGTTTTAGCAAAGGATTTGAGGGAAAGGAAACATAGATGGAATTCATCGCAGTCTGCCCCCAAAGAAACCCTGGTAATCCAGATCTATTTTCTTTGTGCAAGCATATGCCAAGCTGCTCAGCATACGCTGGTGCTTCGTGCTCCTGCAGTATCTCCAGCAGATCTGCTAAGCCTCAGCAAACGTGTTTCGGCAAGCAGCCGGTGTTTCACGCGGCTGGGGAGGGCTGTGCAGGGCGAGCGTGGGTCGAAGCATCCATTGCAGCCCTCACAAAGCCGCCCGATCGCATAGTAATTAATCAGGGTTTGGGTTTTGCCCCCCCCCAACAAAAGGAGCGTTTTAGAGCAGGCGTAGTCATCGAGGTCTAGCTGTTGTCCTCAGCTCTGCAGAAGGGACGTGCTCAGAGAGCCGTGCCAGTCCCCAGGGGAGCAAAACCATACCTGTGCACACAGCGTATCGCCACTTTGTCCGGCTAATTAGAGCGGCATTGTTGCTGGTGAAAGGTCTGTCATTTCATCTCATTAACTATTCTTTTTCAGGTCTCTGCCCCAGCATAAGGTGCCCTGGCAAATTAAGGGTGAGGGCTGAGGGTAAGACCTGGTGGGACCAGTGGTGATTTGCCAGCCCCAGGAGGGTGGTTTGCAGCATGGAGGGTGGGGATGGGTGGTTGTCTCCCCCTAAAATAAGAAAGAAGAGTTTTAGCAATGGGATTACCATTTGAAGCAAAATCTTCACCATTTTTGGCCACCGGGAAGCAGAAATGTTCCAAGCTGAGCACAACACGTAGTTGAGCTGGAGCAAAACATTTGTGTTTTAAGATATGGAGACAAACCTCACATGCATGCTGCCCTTTGAAGGAGGAGCTATTGGAACAGAGCAGCTTGCCCCCAAAATAAATAGTGTCGGTGTGAAAATGGGGAGGGCTCCAGACGAGCCGCTGGGTCTGCCAGGGCGAGGATATTTGTGTCTTTATGCCGAAACAAGATTTGGACGGGGTCCATGCCCTGACCTGTTCCTCAGGTGAGGCTTTTCCTCCTGCTGTGGGTGCACATGACATCCTAAGCTACCACACGGAGAGAGTCCCTTAGATATTTCTCTGCATCCCAGGGACCAGAAGATATACTATTACAACTGTTACCATTATTAGAAATATTTCAGTATTGCTGGTTTTGGTTATGCTGGTTATTTCGAGTGCAGGGTGAGGTGCTATTTGGATTAACTGTCCTTCAAAATGTCATAGCGTTTCATACAAGGAAGATGAAGATGCCAGTCATTGTGAGAAATCTTTGTAAAATGGCTGTGAAACTGAAGGTACTTATTGCTATTGAGGCAAACTGATGTGAATGGCTCATCTGAGTTTAATGTATAAGAATATCCCAATCAGCCTGTCAAGGAGAAGATTAAACATTTGAAGTGACATGACATAATCCCTGCATATCACGTCAGGAATTTGGGAGAGGAATTACACTTAAATGCTCACTAGAAACTTCAGAATTAAGGTGGAGGTGCACAGAAGCGATGCGTGTTGTATGTAGCTTTTTTTTCCCCTGGGTGTCGCGCTTCATTTCTTATGCCTTTTTGGTGGTGTTACCATTTTGTGTTCAGCACCAGATGCAACGTGTTATATGGGAGAGATGGTGTGAGCCTCCTGCAGTGCATGGGGCCTCAGCCCTTGCAACAGAGAGAATATAAAACTCCATCCCAAGCTTGAAGTGAGGGGAGAATTGCCTCAGATTTTGGGAGGGTGTCGCAAGCCTGCTCCTGCGGTGCTGTCCTTAGTCAGTGGAGGATGTGCTACAGGCTGTGGTCAAGTCTGTGTTTTCACCTTTAGCCCTAAATGGCCTTTTTCTTTCCTCAATAGCCCTGAACAGTAGTTGTGTCATCCTTGCATGTGTTTGTCTATCGTAAGCTGAAAGTCAAAGCTTTGGATTTCATCTTTGGTCTCTGGAAACATGAAACATATTTCAGGGAAAACAGCTGTGTTCCCTTCTGTGGAGTTTCACAACGGATGAATTCTGCAAAATAAGGCTTGTATTGTTGTTGCAGTCGCTGCTTTCTTTTGATATTTTCTTTTTATTTTTATTTCCATGATGAGATTAAATTCTAGACACTGCTCCTTCTCTTGGGAATAGTTTTACGGCAGCTTTCTTCATAGACCTAAATTATTCACCAAGAAGGATTTTTTGCTGAGATGAGAATGAGTAGGTCGGATCCGGGACTGTCGTCAGGGCTTGGAGCTCTTTGAAGCTCTTCTTCATGAATCATTAAAAAGGGCTGCAATAACATGGCAAAACAGAGAACTGACTCTTTGTGTAGGTGATCCCAGAATCACCTTTAGATATGCACAAAAGGATTAATCCCGCCTGTGGCTTTGAGAAAATAGTAAGTTGTGTTTAATTTCCTACTGACTCATTTCCTTGCGTGCTACAACTTACCATTGGTTTTCATGTGCAAGTACAGTTTACACTTTATACAATTTTCTCAATAGGCATCTAAGCTGAGAATAGTTGTAGGTATTTATTTTGTGCTTAATCACGCAACGAGTTGGATGGTTTTTTTGCTATGCACCCTGACGCTTGCTATAGTGTAGAGGAAATAATGCAAAGGAAAGAAAGGCAGTTTGTTTGATCTGACTCACCCACATTCCCGATAGTGCCGGCCAAAGCCTTGAGAAGTTTCCATGGTGTTG